TGCAGGCTTTTGTTCTCCTCCAACACTGGAGACATCTCCTCCAGCTGTCGCCGATGCTACTTAGACACCTTCATCACATTCTGTAGCGAGCAAATAGATTAACAGACTGCACTATTTAAAATACAGAGAAGATCTCTTTAGGGTTACCTCAATACGGCCTATCATCGATGTCAGATCGGCCCTCGGTTTCTTCGTCTTCGCACTCGCCTCCACCTCCTCCAGCATCTCAAATTCTTCTCCGCGCTGAATGACTGTGCGGAGGAGTTTTGGCGGCGGGGTGGGCTCTCGCACTATTTCTTCGATTTCCATGGTGGACATCGGCAAAGGCGCCCTCAGGGTTCCTGCCGTGCTCGGCCATGGCCTCCGAGCACCTCTCCTATCATTGGTGGCGCTGTAGCCTACGCTTGTTCAGCAACTAGGGGTGAACCCTATGTTGCACTACTTGGGGCGTCTCCCACAGGATCCGCAAGACTGTGTAATGGCTCCTCTGCACCAGGATCACCCTCATCATGCAATTCACTGCTAGGAGAGGTCGGTCTGGTCGTTGAAGGCTCCTCCATAGCTAGGGCAGTTGGTTCTGCAACCGACGTTTGCTCTATGGTAGGGGCGGCCGAAACCGTCCTTGCCTATGCTTGCTCGGCATGGGGAGCTGCGGGCTCCTCCGTGTGCCCTCCGTCATCGGCAGTGGATGGCTGCAGGACCTCTGTCGACTTTGCACTAAAAAAATGAACTCTTAAGAAGCATACCGCCGCATCAAAGGAATACGCTAAATGTATAAAGCACTCACAATTGGGACTCCCACTGCATAGCTTGAAACCTACATCCGCGCTTGGGACCGGTCCGACCAGCCGTCGAACTACCGGCGCTTCCATCCCTACCACCGATGTCATCCACATGGTCTCGGGGACTATGGTGGTCCCCTGTGCCGCTGTCACTAAAGTTGTTCGCACAGTCTCGGGGACTGCGGAGGTCGGATGGTCTGCTGTCGATGGCGCTACCTGAGTTGCTGCTGCTGCTGGTGCCGGACACATTCTGTTAGGCATTGTCACTGCAGTCTCCCGCATCCGTCGCCTCTCCCGTGTTTCCGCCCCATGCAACGTAGATGGCGGGGGAGTCACGGCCCTCGGTGATGGAGGCGCCGCTTGACCATCGTCGTCTGACGAGCTCGACATCACCACTTGTCACCTTCGAGGTTGGGCGGATGCGCCAATGGTCACTACCTCTCTTCCTGGTATGTCGGTGTAGCTGCTTTTCTTGTTTTAGGGATGGCTCCTCGCAGCCGGTCGCTTCCACGGGAGTTTCTCACGGATGTACGGTGTCCGCACGTCCTCATCCTCACCATCACCGTCGGTCGAGCTATCCTCGCTAGCCTCTGGGCTGGATCGACGCTGAGGATGGCTTAGCCGGGCATCAACACCCCTCGGCCAGTTAACGGTACTACCGAGAAGTACACCGACCGATCCTGCCCATGAATCTTTAGGAAAAATGAATGAGTATATCGCAATTTTAGTAAGCAAGGGATCAAGTAAGATTAAAAAGAAAAGATCTTACCCGTGGTGGGATTGACCCTACATTGAAGGCCCTCTACTGGTCATTGATCTTACGGCGCCCTACGAGGTTAAACAACACCCTGGTTCGCCGCATGACTTCATCCCGGTTAATCAGCTTGGGTACTTCATGGGTCTCGTTAGTATCTCCCCGATACTCATATCCGGGGTGTGCTCTCTCCTTGCTGGGTTGGCATCGTTAGAAAGCAAAGTTTTTCACCACTATGACACCATCCACCCTTCTCGGTCAATCAGCACCAACGGCTCCATCACCTGCGCCATCCCATTGGCACCGGGTCTCTTCGACCACTTGGAGTTGCTCATGGGAATCTGGTCAATGTCCCATGCCACATAGTGCTCCCCCTGTGGCCTGTAGAACCAGCGCTGCACCCAGTACTTTACATTCATGTTCAATAGGGTGGTGATGTACTGGCCAACCATCCCATCTCGAAGCTACAAGTACGCGCTGCCTACGATTCTAGATCTAGATCCCCCCTGGGCTTTCAAGCAAAAGAAGTGGCGAAAGAGATCAAAATGAGGAAGAATGCCGAGATAAGCCTCGTAGAAATGTATGAATACAGAGACGTGCAGGATGGAATTCGGGCTCAGATTGCAAAGACTAATCTTCTAATAGTCAATCAATCCGTGGAGAAATGGATGGATTGGAACGCCAAATCCGTGATAGAAATAATCTTCAAAAACTATAAGTTCATCACCACGGGGAGTTATGCCATCCTGCCGTCACCCTATCGAGAAGCACACCGTCTTCCACCAACCGATTGAGCGCCGCCTCGTTGCTAACGGACACCACCCATTTCTCTGCGTGATTGAGCTCGCGCGGTCCTCTACTCGCACCGCCGCGATTCCTTTTGGGTGCCATCTCGCATATTCGCCGCTAAGATGAGACTACGCATTTGCGGTTGCTCTAATGGCGGAGCAGTTGCCGGGCAGAGCGGTGAAGGCACATGGAAGAAGATGAAGTGGCAGAGAGAAAGTGGGGAATATGTGCCGGGGTTGCGGCGCTATTTATAACGGTTCGACCCCGACCTTCCGTTTTCTAGGGTTTTTGGGAAACCGCACCCACTACGCCGCATTCCCCTCCGATGTCTCTCGCACCTGCCGTGCTACATTCCCCTCCGATGCCTCCGTACCCCGTTGGGCCGCTGAGTGGGCATGGTGGGTCGCTGCGTCACACCATGTCAAATACAGGCTGCTTTTCAATACTAAGTGTGCTACATCATGATATTTCCTTTTTCTGACCCTGCTACAAGATATCTTCAAAATATTCTAGCAGGCTCGGGGACTACGTGTGTACACGTCATCTCGCGATGACTGTATTTATTTCTACACTGGTTTCCAGCGACATTGGGGACTAGGCCAGCACCTGAAGACTACTACTTTGGACCCTGGCACGAAGTGACTACTTCACCTATTGCCAGGCTCAGGGACTAAGTAGGCATACTTCACCTCATGGTGAATGTGCTTATTTTTGGACTTAACCTTTTACAAAGTGCCTAAGTTCCTCCGCACTGACTAAGTTAAGGATGCTAGGCGTCTAACTTCGATGCCGGAACCTAAGTGGGCACACTTCATCCAAAATGGAGACTTCAAAATTTTTATCATGAGCCCCTTACATCCTTCTAGCAAACCTCAGCTTTGAGTAAGTCTGGGCTTCCTCACAGTTGAACTGCTCGGACGATGTTCCCACTGCTCGGACAATAGCTCGGATGACAGTTCAACTGCTCGAACGCCTGTTCAACTGCTCGGATACTCACTTCAATAGCTCAACTCCTAGTTAAACTGGTCGGACACCTGTTTCTGATGATCAGCAGCAAGTTGGACAGCTCGGACAAGCTCAAGACGGCGTTGCTCAGTGGATACAAGGTGCTCGGGGACTAGTTGTGGGAGTATGACCCCCGGTACCCACAGGACAAGACATGGGCCGCACCATCAAAGGTGGCCCAACCCACAAGACTATGCCTAGGTCACGCCATTAGTGGAGGCCTAGCTCACATGACCGTGCTGTGCAAGGCATAATACCGGTTAGCGTGCCTCGCAAGACTACATAAGGATCTCCGGCGATCTAGGAGACCTGCTCGGATACAATAGATCTCGAGATATCTGTAACTTCCTATCTTGTAAAACCGATCAGGATAGAAACAACCGATCTGTAACCTTGCCCCCGAGCTATATAAGGCGGGTAGGGACCTCCCTCATTTTCATCAAATCATAAGCAATACAATCCACAAAGACACAGGACGTAGGGTATTACGTCAAGTCGACGGCCCGAACCTGTCTAATCGCTGTCTCTCGCATTCTATATCACCATCCGGCTCCCTCACGCGCACCTCCACCGATTCATCTACTACCATGGGCATACCCCTCGATAGACTGCTGAACGTATTTCGTCGACAGAACCTAGGTTGCATAACTCTTTTATGATAGAGATAGCAACATATCTATAGCAAAATCTAGGTTGCGTATCTAGATAGATTATTTATTGCACAGGTTTTGACTAGGTGGAAATTAGATGTCATAGTTTTAGAAATGGTTTTTAAGTTGTCTAATTCAACCCCGCTCTTAGACGACATGGTCCCTTCATGGGTGTAGATCCATAGAATTCGTGGAACTGCTGTACGGTGGATCTGCGTGGAGCTTGAAGTGTTTGGATAAAAAGGAGCTATAAATTGGTACCCATAGAAGCTTGAAAAGGAGCTAGAGGTAGAAGATAATAAGAGAAGCCCCTCCTAACTTAATCTTCTAGATCTGGCACTGCATAAGATCATCATAGATTACATGCTCACATTATTTTACATTAAGAGAGACATCATAGGTTACAAGCTCATAGCAAAATACAAAGTGCAACAAAGGTCCAAAGCCCAATCACAAACACAAACAGAAAGTTCCACACACCCTACAAACACTTTATGTAGTACTGATGAGAGGGCAGTTTCAGCTAATCACCTGTACAAAATCAAGTACGTATAATATTTGTGCTTGAGTTAAACCAAAAAAAGGGGTACAAAATTAAAATATATATGCTTTGTGCTTGAGTTGAACATAAAAGGGGATGTAGCTCAAATGGTAGAGCGCTCGCTTTGCATGCGAGAGGCACGGGGTTCGATCCCCCGCATCTCCATTATTTTGTCTCCTTTTTTATTTTTATTTTATACATCCCCCTCCACGCCAAAGCAAGGCCGGACATTTGAGTTGCGGACACCTTCATTTGCTTAATCACATGCATTTTTTAGCTTAAGATTGCAATCTCCAAAACGTTCATTCAAAATATATTTTTGAACGAAAGGAAGTTTCATTTCATCCGATCTCCACATCAACCAAAAACAAACACTGCCGTCCACAACTGACAAGATTCACACAGGTTAATCAGGCTACACAGCAGGCATCAACAATAACCACACCAGAAAACCGCGGCATCCCAAGCCAAATCAATTTTCACCGCGCGGGCAAGGCCGCGGCGAGCTGCAGCACAAGCTTCCCGCCGCCGCCCCTGCGCACCAGCACGAGGGCCACCACGACGACGACGGCAATGCCGACGAGCAGCAGCGCCGCGATTCCGCCGGCCAGGCAAACGCGCCTCCGCCGCGCCGCGCCCCGCAGCCGCCGGGCCTCGCTAAGCTCCGCTTCGGCCGCGGCCACGTCGCCGGCCGCCGCGCCCACCTGCCGCTCGATGTCGTCCAGCGGCGCGCCCTGGGCTTCCACGAGCGCGGCCATGTCCAGGAACAGCTGTTGGAGTTCCACGAGGCCGCGCTCCACCTCCGCCACCTCCTTCGCGGCCTCATCCTGCTCCGCGCCTGCGGCAGACAGCAGCGCCGCCCGCATCGCCGCGTCGGAGGAAACAGAACCGTCGTCGGTGCTGCTGGCCAGGAGGCGGTCCAGCTGCTCCTCGGTCGGCGCGTCCCCGGCCACGGCGAGGTACCGGCGGGCCGCGTCGCTCCGGCGCTCCGCGGAGACCTGCCGCCGGAGCGCCTGCACGTCCGCGGTGAGGTCGCGCACGCGGCGGCTGAGACCCGCCGCGGCCTGCGCCGCGGGGGCCGGGGCGCGCCGGTCCATGGAGGCGAGGCGCCGCGCGGAACCGAGGAGGCGGACGAGCGCCGACTGCGTGGCGGCGCGCGCCTCGCCGGCGCCCGCCACGGCTTTCTTGGACGCCTCGTGCGCGGATCGGAGGTGGGACAGCTCGTCGCGCAGCGCGGCCATCTCGGTCTTTGCCGCGTCCGCCTCGGCCTGGAACGCGCCGAGCTCCGGGTCGTCGCCGCCGCCGGCGGGGGCGGCCGCGGCCGCGCCGCCCTGTTGCGCCTTGGCCGCGGCGGCGACGAAGGAGTCAGTCATGAGGTCGTTCATCCTGGCTGGCCGGCGTCGGAACTGATTGCGAGATGGAACTTCGCTGGCCGGTGTCGGAGCTGGTTGCGAGATGGATCTTTTGGTGTGGTCAAATCTCAATCTCAAATGGTCGCTGAGAAAAGCCAGATTTTTTCTGCATTTAATCAAGTCGGCGCTTATTGCCAGATCTAGCTAGTGTGGTGGCCTAGTGGCACGTATCCTTCTTTTCTATTTTTTTTAATCAATCAAGCACAATATATCTCCAACACCCCTCATTGGAACATCAAAAGAAATGCTACACTACTGAAGGCCATGCAAGACTTCCATTTTCAGACTCCCCATTTCCAGGTGAACAAGATACCAAGATCAATGAACACTACATACTCCCATTTTCAGGTGCACAAGATACCACAAGATACCAAGATCAATGAACACTACAAGCTGCAGGTCAGTCTTTAGCTTATCAGGCCTTTAATTCCACTGTTGCTACAAGTCTTCTCCTGTACTGCTGCTCAGCACAGGAGCTACCTCTCTGCCCTGTCAAAGTGGCTCTATCCCATCTCAAATGGGATGATTGTAATCTACTGTCACGCTGTTAATTTTAATGAATGCCACTTACATAAAAAAATCATCAAGCACAACGAGAGCAAATCTTCACACTTCATTGGATAGATTCAGGAAGAGATATATAGGCATATATATAAAAAAAAAATCATCAAGCACAATGAGAGCAAATCTTCACACTTCATTGGATAGATTCAGGAAGAGATATATAGGCATATAGCTGATCATACTTCAAATAACACCTACTCCCTCCGTTTCAAATTATAAAACCTTGTCTTTTCTACATAAATAGCTTTTATTATACACTTAGACATACACTATCTAGGTATATAGTAAAAGTAGTATATCTAGAAAAGCAAAAATATCTTATAATTTAAAACAACAGGAGTACTATTTACCAAACTGCTGCAGTAAAAAAAAAAGTTTAGTACTTGCATCAAATATAGTTCCGATGCATTATTAATTTCTTATTACAATTCAGCGCCTTTGAAATGTCTTTAACTTCTTGTTCAGGGGAAATGTCACAAAATTAATTTTTTCAGGTAAATGTCTCCGAATTATTGAAAATTGCAACACCTTTTTCCCCTTTTGACAAAGTGAATGGTGAAAGCTTGATTAGAAACCTATTTCGGCCTAAACAAAGAAATTAAATGAACAGGAGCCAAGTGCCAACTCGCGCTAAGATCTGGAGCAAGCATTCTTCAGGATGGATCTGAGGTTTCCTGTCTCAGTCACGACACATTCCCGGTCAAACAGAGCAGAGACCACGGCCACACCTTTCAGATTTGGGAACCCAAGCTCCATTACCGAACCTGCATTTCCAGCATTGATGCCGCCGATGGCCACCACAGGTAGCTTCGAAGCCAAGCAGACGGTCTTCAAGCCCTCAAACCCTAAGGTGGGATTGTTCTCCTTCGTTGAGGTTGGGAAGACACCGCCACAGCCGATGTAATTTGCACCATCCTTCCATGCCTGCTCGGCCTGGGCCAGGGTTTTACATGAGACGCCAATGATTTTTCCAGGTCCTAGGAGTTCTCGTACTTCCCATGCTGGCATGTCTGATTGACCAACATGGACGCCATCTGCGTTGCATGCCAGAGCGACATCTATGCGGTCATTGATCAGTAGCGGCACTCCACTAGACTTGCAGATTTCCACACAAGCCTTGGCAGCTTCCAAGAACTCCCGTGTCTCGGTGTCTTTTTCTCTGAACATTAGAAGTTCAAAGGACGGTCAGTGAAATCAAATGAAGAGACTGAATGAACAAAAGGAACTTTGGTCGTTTTCAAGAAAGATAACCTCAATTGGACAATGGTAGCGCCACCTTCAATGGCAGCTTTCACAGCATCTTTTATCGAACGACCCCACTTCTTGTTCATCCCAGAGTCTGTCACTGCATACAGGAAGAGGTCATCTGGATTGAACTTTTGCAGTGATCCCATCTTGTATAATGGAGACTTGAGCTCGAAGAGGTGGTCAAAAGGGCCCTGAGGTCCATTTCCAATCACAAGATCTTTGCTGTGATAAAGAGCAGATTCCACAAATTTCTTTGCAACCTGCCAAGATAATGTATGGAAAATAAGACATAATGTAAGATACTACTATTATGAACAGCAAACCTGAAAAGATACATAAAAAACACTGAAAAATCTTACTATTATGAACAGTCAACCTTCATATAGTGCCAAACTGCTAATCAAGGTTCCAAACCACTAGGAACTGAATTAAGCACCCAAGTAAGGTACTACCTATGTTCCAATTTATTGGACGTTTTGCTAACCTATTTTAGCCTACCAAAACGTCTAGTAATTTGAAACAGATAGGTATTTAAGAAAAGAAAAAACAACCAAGGATCTGATGATGGACATGATTTGAACGAGAGTCACAGCTCGAAACAGCCTAGTTGATTCTTTGCAGTAAATGTGCCTTGCAATATCTCATCTAACAGAAAACAAATTAGCACCAGCACATGCCAATTCTCCAGACCTTTGTACTAAAGAGTCACCCCATTACAGGGGACAATTTACTTAGCAAGTTTTGTAGCACCAAACAAACCCAAGTAAATATGAACCTGATAAGAAAAAAGTTTCAATCTATGTCCTGTTCATTGCCAAAGAATTATTTTTCCTAGTGATAAATAACACTACAGGAGATAATTTGCCTCAATTGTTTTTAATTATTAGTATCAGGTATTAGTGTGTGGCATCTTAAATGTTAGTACTTGCAGCCTAACCTGAACAGCATGCAGCATTGTTGCACCTTTTGCTAATTCAGCAGCAATACATGAAGCTAACGTGCAACCGGTTCCATGTGTGTTACGGGTCTTTATACGCAGACCACGAAGCTCAATGAACTCCTTACCTGATGAAATAGGTCAGAATTTGTATGAGGATGCTAAAAAGGGTGGAATGAAACAAGTTAATTGTCAGAACAGAGTAGTATTAAATTACTCAAATATACCATCAAATAATACATCAATTGCATCTGATGAATCTGGCATATCCCCACCTTTCACAAGCACATATCTTCAAATGGTAAGATTGTATTAGCAAATTATTCATCAATCACTACATTTAATTTTAAAGAGGACATTCACTAATGCAATTAACAATGGTGTCTGTTAGAATATAATTGTAACACATACAGCCCATATTGGGCGTAATGGCCCATTGGCCTTGTATACATTATAACCCTAGCCTATTAGGCTATATAATGAAGGTCACCCCCCCTGATTAGGGTGTGCGGTGTTTCTCTACATGGTATCACGAGTCTCAGGGCCCTTATTTTGGGTTTCCTTTCCTGTCTTCCGCTTCCTCCTCTGCCCGTGCGCCCTGCTCTAGGGCGTGCGCCACCGCACCACCGGGCCGCGCTCGCCTCCAACCGCGCCGCGCCACAGATCCGATCGTCAAGACTGCCGCCGCCATTGCCGCCATAGCGTCCTCGTCGGTGCCTCCGCCACCTCCGGCGTCCTTGGCTCCCACTCCTCCGGACTATTGGGGGGATGCTCTTGCTCCTCCCTTCTATGCCGCCTATGCCTCCGTCAGCGTGAAGAAGACGTGAAGCAAAGACGTCCCGATCTCCCTCACCTCGGCGTCCCAACTACTCCAAGTGAAGGCGTTCTTCACCTTCTCTGCGCCAAAGCACGGGCTGCTCGGCCACATTGATGGCACGGAGGCGGCGCGCCGGTGACCCCACGTGGTCTCACCGGCGCTTTGCATCCGTGTGGTGGATGTACGGCTCTCGTCGACGACGCCGTCCTCGATCTCGCCATGGAGGAGCCCGATCAAGACGCTGCGCCTCAGACGTCTCCATCGAGGCCTGTTTCGTGCAAACAAGGAGTCTCGTCGGTTGTTGTCCTCGGACAGAGTTCCACACCATGTCCCTGGCGACCTCTCGTCCCGACGCCGCCGCCCAGCCAGATGAAGCACACCGCCGATGCCCTCCGGAGGTTGGTCACGCCATCTCCCCGCCCGGCTTCGTGCTCAATCTCTCGTGACGGCATCCACCCCGCGCCGCCACCACCGCCCGACATCATCACCAACACGTCGCCGCTCCCCGACTTCAAAGCGCGCCACGAACATGCTCGCGTCAGGAACTTCGTCTTCGAGATCAAGGCGCGGAGGCTTCGGCCTCCGCCCTTGTCGCCTCCACCACCTCCTCCCCCAGACGTCGCCGTCTCTCGCCGGGTCCACTTTCTGCGACCTCCAACCGTGGGGGGGCGGTGGCAAAGGCAAAGGGGGGCAAGGCAAAAGGTAAGCAGCGGCGGCAATGGCGGCGATGGCGCGGCGGAAGGCGGCGGTGGGCGCAACCACCAAAGATGGCGCGCGCCACAAAGCGTTTTCGGCCGTCAAGCTCCTCGGCCCGGCCGGTCCTTGGGTTTGCTACAACCCTTGGGCGCCATGATGGCCTCCTCAAGAAGAAGCGGCGGTGGGGTGCACCACCCCGTGCCTCCTCCACAGCGCACATTGCCTTCGCGCCCCCAGCTTTCTCCACCACGGCCGGTTCCCCGGCGTCACAGGCCCTCAGCGTGCGGGATCGGGCCGGCACGATTCGCCCTCAATCGGATGGATGGCGGTTGTGGGTCGCCTTGGGTCATGGACGGTGGAGCGACATCCCACATGTCCTCCAACGACGGTATTCTTCTCTCCGTCTCCGTCACCACCGTCTTCCATTACGATCGACAGCGTGCAATCTATTCTGTCCTTAGTCGTGGCACATCTTTTATACAAATAGGCGATCGTTCTTTTCATCTTGATAATGTTCTTGTCGCTCCACAACTCACTCGTAATCGTTATTCTGCATTCGACGACTTACTCGCGACAATAAGCTCGATTGAGTTTGACGCCTCTGGTTTTTCATAAGGATCTCCGGATCAAGACGGTCCTTCTTTGATTGCAATAGCAACGGGATCTCTACACCATTCCACATCACATGCCCATGCCTTCTCTTCATCACGT